GTGTCACTCACTCTCACTAAGGGTACATTCACCTCTTATCTAGTCAGTGTCATGGCCTCAATTCCCACCCAAGAGCTAACGACTTCCAGTGACTATGTGTTTATTTAAACAAATATTTATTTCACAACTATTTTGTTTTCAGCACCATTTAGGCCTTGAATACCATGGTTAAAAAAAGACGAAGCCCATGTGAAGCCCATGTTTGCAATGAGCGTGTTTTATGGAAGAGGAAAGTGAATAGATAGATAAATACAGCATCGGGGGATCATTTCCAATAGCTTTACGTGCTCTGGGGACGCACCGTCACACCGACAGTGACTGATGGGTCGGTGTCCGTGCAGGGCTCAGGGAAGCTTCTCTGAGGAAGTGTGTCGCCTCCAAACCGAGCCCTGCGTGAGAAGAAACGTCATCGTGCCAAGACGTGACAGTGAGGTTAGAATATCCTAGAAGAGAGTAGGAGTAGCCTGGTGTGTTTCTAATGTTATGATGAAAATGTTTTTAAAAAGAACGTGTTGTTATTTACATACATTAACTATATTGCATATCTTACATGCAGCTTACACTTTACTCAGAGCAGTTCAGCCAAGCCCAAAGGCTGGACACCACCATTCCCTACTAGTGTGACTGTCCCTTCAGCTCACCGCTCCCTGTACTTGTACTCCAAGGCAAGTCAGAAATCTGAAAATTAGGGCTGGGGATTTAGCTCAGCGGCACAGGGCCTGCCTGGCAAGCGCGAGGTCGTGAGTTCAATTCCCGGTACCAGAAAAAAAAAAAGGAAATCTGAAAATTAGCTGGCAGTGACAACACACATCTGTAGTCCCAGCACAATGGGAGGCTGAGGCAGGAAGATTTCAAGGTCGAGACCAGCCTAGGCAACTTAGTAAGACAGTGTCAAAAAAGGGAGAGTGGTGGGGGATATAGCTCAGTGTAAAGGGCCTTGAGTTCGGTCCCCAGTACAAGAAAAAAAAAAGGGAAGGAAGGAAGGGAGGGAGGAAACAAAGAAAAGAAAGAAGAAAGAAAGGAGAGTGGTTCTCTCCTATCATTGGTCATAACCAATCAATCCAAGCGCCACCTATTTCCAATTTCAGGCCTTGTTTCTATACCTTTCTTAACAATCTCCTTCACTGTATTTGTTTGTCTTCTTGAGACAGGGTCTCACTACACAGTTCAGGCTGGCCTTGAGCTCACTTTGTAGCCCAGGCTGGCCTTGAGCTCACTTTGTAGCCCAGGCTGGCCTAGAACTTGCAATGATCCTCCTGCTTCAGCCTCCTCAGTGCTGGGATTACAGGCGTGCGCCACCATACCTGGCCTTTACTGTAAACTATTTCTCTTTTTCACTTTTTTCTCCCAGCCTCAATTACACATCCATCAAAGATAAAAGCAGAGCCAGGCGTGGTGGTGCATGCCTGTAATCCCAGTACTCGGGAGGCAGAGGCAGGAGGATCACTGTGAGCTCAAGACCCTATCTCAGCAAACAAAACAAAACAAAGAGACAAAGGCAGGATAGCATAAGATTTAAGAAAATATCCTCCAGTATCAAACTGAAGAATTGAAGTCAGTTGCTAAACTTTGTAGAACTTTAGTCTGTTTCCTTACCTTTCCATACCTCAGTTTCCTCATCTGAAAAAATGAGGTATAATGAGTATTTACATTTTAAGATTGCATATACATACCACAGTAAATGATGGTGTATAAATGCTGTCATTCAGAAAGGTCTCAAGAGATATTACTCTGATCAAAATTTTTGAATGGCTCCCATTTACCCTGAATAAAAAGCAAAGCCTTAGTTCTGTTGTAGTTTGGGATTTGCAAGGGGAACAATACCATACAGAACACATCATTTATAAGGTTATTTTATAATACCCAAAGAGTCATATACAAAGAGTGCAGGAACTCTGTCCACGCACTAAAGACCCAAAGAATCCAGCTGAGGGCCTGGATCCCACGGTAAGGTCTTACATGAGTCCAGCTGAAGACCTAGAGCCCGTAACAATGCCTCCCATGAGTCCAGCTGGAGGCCAAGCGCCCACAACGTCTCATGCAGGCCTGTTTCACGGATCTGCCTTGGCAAAGGCCCAAAGGTCAGTGGTGGAAGCTAGAAAGTCTGTGCCAGCGGGATGAAGGATCTGTGTCAGCAGGCTGAGTGACACTCAAAGTAAGGGCCAGAGTTCTCCTGAAAAGTACCCCAGCCATCCTCAGCAACAGTGAGGTCTCGAGCTCCTCTGAGGATGAGAACAACCGAGTTCATCAGGAAAACCAGCATGACAAGCTCCTCCAAGAGAACTAACAGCTCCCTAACAGCCTCTCTTCTTCCTCTCCAGGTCTGCCTCTTATGCTGCCGGCAACAGTCCTCAGGTGGGCCTCCCACTCCCAGAACCATGCTGGTTCAGTTCAGCTGGGTGTTAAGTTGACCACCAGTTGTCAGTCTACCACATCTCCAATCTTTGTTTATTCAGCTAATCACCTTCCCCATGTGACTTTTGTCCTTTCTTTCTCTTTGCTTGATCCTCCAATTTTTTTTTCTTTTTTTTTTCTGGTGGTGCTAAGGATTGAACCTGAGGCCTTGTGCACACAAGGTAAGAGTTCTACCACTGAACCGTACCCCCAGCCCCACTCTGGTGGTTCTATACCCATGCTTTTGCCTTTAATGTCCTTCTTTTCTTAGAAAAATCCTACTTTTCAATGAAATTTCCACTTAAAAAAGCTTCACTGTACATGGCCCTCAATCAGATTCTAGCAGCTCTACTATACCGTGGCTGTTGTTTATTTGTACTTTATCTGTCCACCCACTTGTGAGCAATCACCATGGGATTTTAAAAGATTTGTATATATAGTGCTTCATCAAAAATAGATGCTGGGTGAGCCAGGCATGGTGGCATATGCCTGTAATCCCAGCACTTGGGAGGCTGAGGCAGGATCATTGTGAGTCTGAGATCAGCCTGGGCTACAAAGTGAGCTCAAGGCCAGCCTGAATTACATAGGGAGACCCTGTCTCAAAAAGACCAAAAAAAAAAAAAACAAAAAACTACATGTATAGGTATGTACACAAGTATAATATGTTTATGAGTATAATTTTTTTTGTGATACTTGAGATTGAACCAAGGGCTCACATATTAAGCAAGTACTTCACCACTGAGTTACCTCTCAGACTCTTTTTGTTATTTTAACCCAGCCATGGTGGCACACTGTCTATTTTGACAATTGACCCCACTGCTAAATAGAAGAAATAAAGAGGACTAACTCTTTACTATGCGCCAATTCAATTCTAAGGGCGTGGCCTGGATTATCGCATTTAATCCTCTGGATGACCCTTCGAAGGAGATATAGTCATCATGCTTATTTCACAGATAAATAAGCAAAGAGCTGCAGAGTTAGATAAAAAGTGTCCTGGCTAAGCGGCAGTCTGTCAACCAGGGGCCTCTTTATGTAGTGCTAATCCCTGGGGGCTCTCTCTGGACCCTTCCAGTTCAATTCTGCTCCTGTGGATTCCTTTGGTGTAGGTAACCAACCTTAGGCTCACAAGTTCAAGCCGGGAAGGGGATGCAAAAAGAATTAAATTATGTTATGTACACATACCTACTCCCCACAACGAATGAAACCAGTATGCAAACATATACTAATAAAAATTAAAAAAAAAACAAGACAAAACAAAAAACCGAAAACGTACAGCCCAGTCTGGGTAACTTAGCCACTTACTGGATGGAGAAGAGAGAAATCACAGCGTCGCTTCTGATTTGCCCTGGGCAGTGTTTTATTTTGCATTAATATTCAGTGTAACCATGCGGAGTCCCACGCGAGTTATCACCAGTTAGTTTTACCACCCACACCTTAGAAAAAGCTGAATGTCACTTTGGACGGTACCTTTGGGAGGCCCACGCCATGCAGAACTTCAGGTTGCTGAGCATGCGCCTGAGCGCCTCGGTCCACTGCTCCTCGGTGTTGAGGTGAGTGCGCACCGAGTACTGCCCCTTGGGGTCCGCGGGGTCCCCCAGCACCCCCTCCTGCGCGTGCACCGTATAGGGCACAAGCAGCCCGCTGGGCCCGGCCTCCTGCTGAAACTGCTGCAGGCAATCCAGGAAGGCCAGCATGGCGCGGTCGAATTTGTTATGCAGGAAGACGTTGTGCCTGCCGTCCGAGGCCAGGGGCAGCTCCTCTCCGTCGGCGGTCCGGGACTTCAGGTAGGAGTGGCTCCCGCAGGCCACCAGGTGGTACCGCTGGAACTGCAGCCGCACAGCGTTGGACAGGGCCAGCAGCAGCAAAGCCGCCTGTCCCCAGGCCGCGTTGATCTCATCCCAGCCCACGGGGACCTGCGGCAGGCGGCCCAGCCTGAAACTGTTGATGATGCCCACGGGTCCTTCCTCGGAGATCTCAAAGGTGGCTTCGAAGATGTCGGTGGTCCTCAGCTGCTGTATCTGGCGCTGGGCATACATCAGCTGGTTGTCCAGGCTGCCCAGCTCGTCGGATAGTTCCTGCTGTTGCCACTGCAAGACACTGAGGTCCTTCTGGTGCTGCTCATCCTGCAGGAGCAGCTCAGTGGTCTCGGCCTGGGCGGTGCTCAGGTGGGCAGCAACCTGGGCCTGCCTGCTGTCCAGATTCCCCAGCTCCCCAACCAGCCTGGCCTCCTCCTGCATCAGGTCCCACAGTTCGGTCTGCAGGGCTGAACTCTTGTCCCCACCCTGCAGCAGCCCCACCTCCAGGCAGCGTCTGTAGGTCTGGCATTCACGCTGGGCTTGTGCCAGCTGCTTGTCCAGCTGCTCCAGGATACAGTCGGTGCACTCCTCACACAGGGGGTGGTCCACCACTTCCAGGTCTGAGAGGGAATCGAAAATGTAGGCGCAGGTCTTCTGAATGCCATCCAGAGTTTTCACGGAGGTGCAGCTGCCCAGCAGGGTGAAGGGTTTGACTCTTTCCTGGGACATCCCGCCATCTGGTTCACAGAGGCTGCTGGAGGGGCCTGCCTGGGCTCCTCCACTGGCTGCCAGATCCGTGGAACTGCTGCTGTCCTCCTGGGTACCTCCTGGACTCCTTCGCACTGAGCTGAGCTTCTCTGAGGTCTGACTGAGCTTCAGGGGCTGGTGGCAGTGTTGGCACAGGAAACGTATGGAGGACATCCTGCAGCCCTGCTCCCTGGAGCCGGCGTCTCCAAGGCTTCCCTGTCACCTACTGCACGCCTTTTAAGCTCTTTCTAGGAGAGCGATTCTTTTAAAATGCATATCTCATAGCCAGGTGTGGTGGCCCACGCCTGTAATCCCAGCACTCGGGAGGCTGAGGCAGAAGGATTGCCACAAACTCAAGGCCAACCAGGGCTACATAGCAAGACCCTGTCTCAAATAAATAAATAAATGAACAAACAAACAAACAAATAAATAATCTGATAATTTCACTTCCCTCCCTCCACATCTAGGAGGCACAGTAATCTTCACAGAACATGGATGGTCCCTCCTTAAACTGTTTAATGCCCTTTTAAAATAAAGACTAAGGGCTGAGGATATAGCTCAACAGCACAAGCGCCTGCCTGCCAAGCACAAGGTCCTGAGTTTGATTACCAGTCAAAAAAAAAAAAAAATAAAGACTAAAAAAACAAAACAAAACAAAAATAAAGGGTAGCTGGGTGTGGTGGTACACGCCTATAATCCTAGTACCAGGGAGGCTGAGCCAGGAGTGTCATTGTAAATTCCAGGCTACTGTGGGCTGTTAATAGTGAGTTCCAGCCAGCCTCACCTATATAGCAAGACCAGCCTCAAAACACCAAAAGAAAAGGTCTCTCGTTGTAACCCAACACCAGGGCTCCAGGACATCTGTCCCAGCCGCCGCTCCCCGTTCTCTGTCCTCTGGAGGCTCCTCTGGTCCTGCACAGTCCTGCTGTTTGCTTTTAACCATCACTCTGTCTCCTGGAAATGCTCTTCCTTTCCTTCTTCACCAGCTCTATTCATCCTTCAGGTTCCGTTAGATGTCATCGCTAGGAAGCCTCTCCTGACATCCCAATTTTGACTCGCTACTCTGGTGACGGATTTGGTCCCCTCTGTCACGCAGTGATAGGTACACACAGAAAAGATTTTCATTTAACTCACACATCAAGATAGAATAGTCTGGAGGTGTGTATTTTACCATTAGCTCAGCCACAGAGTGAAATATGCTGCCTCCTAATGAACAGGATTAACAGAACAATCAATACAGGAAACAAAAACCCTTATCCTGGCCCACACCTGTGACCCCACACTGGGAGGCTGAGTGTAAGGCCAGCCTGAGCAGGGCAGTAGTTCAAGGTCAACATGGACTACATAGTGAGACTTTGTCTCACCAAAATAAAACCAAACCAAAAAAAAAAAAAAAAAGGCGTGGTGGCTCATGCCCATACTATAATCCCAGAACTCCAGGAGGCTGAGGCAGGAAGATTGAAAGTTTGAGCCTAGCCTGGGCAACTCAGTGAGACCAAATCTCAAGATATAAATAAAT